CCCATTCCAGACAAATGTCTATAGACTGTGGTCGACCCCCTCATAAATATCGCACATGCCCCTCCCCCCCCACCTACAAAACGCATCTTTCGCTGGCGCTGCTAATAAAGATTTGCACTGTTTGCAACTGTCTTTTAACTGTAATCTGTGGGATGCACATCATGGGACCAGGCTCGGCGATCGTTTGGCGAGACACAACAATTAGGACCTCACTGACGGACCGGACTCTTCTGTCAACCGTTGAGTTCCCTGCACGTTTCATCCCATCCTTGAATTTCGCACACTGTATAGTGATTCTCCATGTTCATGTTGTACAAGTTCTTTTCTTGTAACAGGTTGCTGCACAAGCCGCTGGCAAACTCCTGGTCCCTCCTCCTATCCCATATGTTCCTCATACCTTACGTTTCATATCACCGAGGGGATTTTTCTTTTTTGAGGAATAGTTTGTACCGTACGCAGATTTCTACACATGGTATTACCTTTTGAATTTACTCGGTTACCGTATCGTCCTGCGGTCATACACGAACCGTCAGATCCAAGGGGAATTTATAAATTCCTCCACATAGTGATTGAAACACTGTGGCTGAACCGATCTGGGTGAACACAAAGCACAATCGGTCAAATCAGTTCAAGTAAATTTCTTATGCACCTTCAAATGGGCGAATTATTTTGTCTGCTATATAATTAAGAATAACACAGTGTTCACAATAATAATAATAATAATAATAATAATAATAATAATAATAATAATAATAACAATAACCGTAAGGAGCTTCTCACGGTAATACCTAGATGGATAGTTATGAGTGGGTGGTGGAGGTAAGCCTGAGATGTTGCGTGAATAGACCGAGAAAATTTACTAGCAAACCATATAATAATTCTCAGCTGACCGAATGTTTAGTTTATGCTAGGGTTCATCTATCTTTACTTTCTCAAACGCTTCATTTGGTCGCTGGGACCATCGAAATCGGTGTTCCTTCTGGCATACCATGACAATGCAAAACCGTTGACGAACCGACTGTATGGCATAAATGAAAACCACTGTTTCGATTTTTCACCTGGTATTTTCTTCACCACCTGGGGTTTGCTCTAGAATTTCTCCGCATTTCTGCGCTGCAAACTTCATGACACATCAGCCTCCCTATCGGCTGTCCAATTTGATAGCCGAGGACGTGAACCACTCAAGTGATATTGAGGTGGATGAATGCATTTCAATCTACAACGAAAAATGAACTGATCAAGATGGAATATCGAAAAATATGCTCCGGTGTGCTCATATATGTCATATATGATCATATATGTCAACTTCGTACTATGAGCGTTCCCATATCCTGTAATTGGGTTATCAACTCCTAACCAGCAACATTGAATGAATTTATTCAACTTTCAATACGATACTACTCATCAGTAGCACCTATCAGATTGCGAATAATGGCAGAGAGTACCGCGGTGCTCACTAGACCTTTTGTTAGTCTTGACGACTCAGTGGAGCGTTTGGTAAATAGAACGCACCTGAGATCGATCTATGTGCCTGATGGTTATCCGACATATATATATATATGTATTCATTACTTTGACAACATTCCACTAATGCAGTGGTTTCACACGTAGCTTAACCGAGACACACTGCGAATCTGGCAGAAGTTCTGTGATCGACTGTCAGGGTAGATTCGGTTCCGGATGTGGTCCCTGCCAGAAGTGGTGGAAACTCATTTGCACAACCCATTCAGTGCTAAAGTACCCCTGACCCACCCTACACACTTCACGTGTACCGAATACACTCAGTGGTTCAATACGTAAGCAACTAGCCGTGTGACCGTTTGGATCCGAATTCCACTTTCGTGACGAGATCAGTCCTTATAATCTGTGATGTGATTTTTTCCAAGAAAATTTGATTTTTAAATAGTGATTAATGTATTGGCATCATCACAAATCACTGAAAACGTTTTTTTGTTCGCCACGTTGATGTGTTGTATAAGTGTGCTCTTTTGGACTATTCATACATAGTTGATACATTGACTGAGTAATTTCATAAGCATTACTGTTTAAAACATTCATCGAATTTCGTTGTTTTCAACTTAGGTCCTTCAAATGCCCACTGGCTTCAAAAAACAAACTTCCAGCTCATGTGTTGATGCACGACATTTTCGTTCCTAACTAACCACACGCATTCGGCTATCCCACCACATTGGTGTGTTGGTGCACAAACAACGACAACAATAACAACAACAACAACTGATGCCAATCGATTCCCTCTACTTTTACTTCACAGGCAAGACCACACCTACGACCTGTATCAAAAAAAAGGATCGGAAAGCTGTAGAACATTCGGCTGTATACGAAGAACAAGTAAATTTCACAGCATGGTATGAGAGATCTTTTAACAGTGCAAAGGTTGAATGAGAAAGCTTTGCTTAGTTGGTACCAAAAATGAACACATTTGAAATTCACCTGATGAAAGCATACCCCTTTAAATCAGATAAACCAAAGGAAGTTAGAATTCGAAGGGATTGTCAATTTTCAGTTGAGTTCAGTTGCTTGGGAATTCAGCTGTGCTGGTTCCGGTCGCCTTCTCTCAATAGCTCAATGAAGAATGGAATAAAACTGAAAGATAAACTGCGGGTAGTGTTATACGATCATAGTAACACTACAGATTCACATGCATCTTCGTTAACCCTATTCATTCATATTATAACCGAATACCTACCTCAACCTATCCGCTCAATATCTCCTGGTCTAAGTTTCCACATTTGATCTTCGCGGAAAAACTGCCTGTATTGTCATACATCGTCCACCGAGAAACAGTATTCAATGTCATACATGACACGTGCTCAAGTCACTTCAAACCCTTTCGCCAGTGTGAGATCCCAGTCAACTGACCTTAGCATAGATGGACCGGTTGTCTTATCAGATTCGTGCAGTGCGTAGGGTATATAGGTTTCAGTTCAGTTCTTAAAACCATTAATCGTGCACTTTCGTTCGCCTGTTTCGGTTGCCATCTTTGGTTGCCCATTTGGATAAAACAGCAGAATGATCATTAGAATGTTGAGAGCAGATTCAAGCGGAAGATAGCGCATTTATATAGACTGAAGTTACAAGAGTAATTAATAGTTGCATGAGCGCCAATGGTTGCGACACCCAGTCGTATCGCTCAGTGTCTCCAACCATCAGTGACCATCCTCTCGGGGTCCTCAGCCAGGGACCTTTGTGAGCCAGCCTCCTGGTCAGGGTTTTCATACCCTCATGCCGGGTCTTCCTTTAACCGCCTTTTATCTTTTTCCAACCGCTACCTGCCTCGGCAAAGATTGCTCGCCGTGGCAACCTATCTGGTGACATGCGTAGCACATATCCAAACCAGCTGATCTATGAAGGTCAACCACTTGCTCCAGTGGACTACCTCGATTACCTAAAACTCTGCGCCTGACATCAGCATTGTTCGTCCGGTTTCCCCACCGGACTCGTGCAATGCGACGTAAACAGCGGTGTTCGAACGCCGACAATCTATTTTTGTCCCTTTCCCGTAATGGCCAAATCTCTGCGCCATAAAGCAGAACTGACCGAACTGCTGCAGCATATACTCGATCCTTCACAGATAGCCGGATGTCGCGACGGCACCATAGATGTCTCAAGTTGGCAAATGCTAACCAAGCTTTTTGTATGCGCATCGATACTTCATTTGTGATGCGTCCGCCAGGTGAGATATAGCTGCCTAGATAGCAAAACTT